CAATTAATGTGATGCACTAAACTCTGGAGCAGTTTGAGCCAGAGTAAACTGCTCCCAGGCGCAGCATCTAAACGTGCACCCTGGACAGCAGGGACAATTCGAAGTGGGATGGAGCAGAGCCGGGCTGACAAGAGGCACGGGGAGGTGGGGGCTCCACGTGACAGCATCAGGCGGTGGAGGGACTGGCTGATGCACAAAGGTGCTGGCGCTGCGGAGCCGTGTGGCTGGGTAGCAGGTAGGAATCTGCCCCCCACCCCGTCACTGTCTACACACGTGTTTCGGTGCAGTAAACGACTGCTGTAAGATAGCACTGTCCCCGACAATACTATCTTACGGCAGAATTAATTACTTTACTGCGCCCTAATACATAGATGCGCCCGCTGCTAACTAATATGGGCCTTCTTATCCATAAATCAGAGAGATGCCAAAATGCAGCCGCTAGAGCCTGGCCTAGTCAGCGCTGTATGCCTGCAGAAACTACACGACAGACCGAGCAGTGTCTTTTTCCTCAGTGCAAAAGTCCCAGCAAAATTTGCCTTTTTTTCTGTGCAAGACGCAAGATTAAAGCATTAGCACAGGCAGCGTGGGGGGATTTTGAATTAAGAGATCTCATTATTTGGAAATCCATGCAGTGGATCTCTAAAGCCAAGCACGGGATTTTGTCAAAGCCACTGGTGGCCCAGAGCCGCTGCAGACCGTGCCGGCAGAGCGCCAGATTGCCTGCAGACAGCCTCACACTTTAATTTTTCTGTTAAAAACCAAGGATTGTTCCGGCTGTGTCCCGAGGGCCGGACGGCAGCAAGTCTCTGCTGTACAGCAGACGTCTGAGCGGGGTCTGGGCTCCAAACACGCCCCTCCCAAGATGCACCAACATCGTGGCATCGCCTAGATTGACTTAAAGAGATTTTCCAGCAGTTGAACACATGGAGACAAGGTCAGGGCTTTTCCTCAGAAGAGGGAAGGAGGCATGTTAGCAGTGTGCTTATGAACACCCCGTCTGCCCCCCAAGCCGCTGTTTCCCTTACCATCATGGGGGGGGCTGCCAATTGCTATCATGATTCACATGCACCCTGAACCCAAAAAACTTTGGAGGCCCTTTGGGAGACATGCCTAGCACTCCGGGAAATGGTGCTCCAGGGGCAGAATAATTCTACGTGTCATCAGCAAATAGAGCTGACCTCGAGGCCTTCCCCACCTGCTAAAATGGATTCCTCCATGCTTGAAAACTTACTCCGAAAAGATGGCTAAAATAAGCCTTGCAATACATCCCGATGCCCAAGAGATGCAGGTTGTGATGGAACAAAGGAGAGGAGTGTAGAAGGGAAAGA